GGGAGGGGGCAGCAGCCTGTTCGCTGGGAAGGGGGGGTCCCAGGAGTGGGTTGAGCTTAATGCCAGGCAAAGCTTTCTGAGCCTGAAATACTCCCAGCACATCTCCAGGCACGGGATGAAACTCCTAGGTGCAAAGTTTCCAAGACATTTTTGTGCTTGAAAGGATGGACGGGGAGCTCCTGAGTTCTCCGGCAGGATTGGAAAAGTAGGAGCTTGGTGGGTTGGGGAGGGAACTTGGAGGGCCGGAGGAGAGCACTGTTGAAGGGCCCAAGGGAGAGACGTCACAGATCTTGAAGCGGGACTCTCGGTTGTACTGGCCGGAGGCCTGGATGGAGCCTCCAGAGGCAGAGGCAGTCTACCTCTGAACGCCAAGGGCTGGGCTGCCATCCTCCTGCCCTAATCGGCCTCTGCCTGGGGACTTGAGCTGCGCAAACACGCCCCGACTTCTCGTTGCAGGACCAACTACGAGGAGAGCATGATGGTCCGCCTCAACGTGAGCCGCAAAGAGAAAGCCCGCCGCAGACAAGGAGGGGTCCTCGGCTCCCAGCTCAGCTCCCTCACCCACTTTGGGGACATCAGCGCCCTCACTGGGGCCACCCCGTCCCTGGGAGAAGTGAGTTTATTGTGGCTGCGTTATCGTTGAGTCAGGGGGCATCAGAGCCACCTGGTCACGGGGAAAGGTGGGCAGGTGGCCAGGGAGGGGGAAAGGGTGGCCCTTCCTGTGAGCATTTTTGGGCACGTGAACGCCGTGCACCAGAAGCCCCTTGGCCTGGTCTCCTCTTGGTTATTGGAGAAATGGAGGGGTGCCTGGAAGGGCTGGGCTATGCCCGAGGGCCCCATAGGCCTTCCTGCCAGCACGCTTTCCAAACTGGGGGGACTGGCCTCTTTTTTCACCCCTCTCCTGTTCCCCTTCAGCCAGGGAGGGGCTTGACAGAAATCCTCGTATCTGTGGCTTCTTTATGAAACGGTCCATTTTGACAACCAGCCCAAGGAAATGGGGCAGAGAAACCAGCATCTCTTTCCTTCTCCTCCCTATTCCCCGTCGCCCTCGCTTTGCCTGTTTTCTCCTGAGAAAGTTGCAGAGCTCCAAACGCGGGGGGTCCTTTTGTCTTCTGGGGAAAAAGGGGGACCCTCGAAGCACGACCCTCCGGAAAGTTCACAAGCGGCTCCCATCATCCTCCCCGATAAAACAAACATGGTGGGCTTGGCCATAGCACTCGTGGGGGCCAGAGAGAGCCTGGCGATCGTTGCTTGCAAATGGCCCACGTGCAAAGGGTCCGCCTGGGTTTGCCCATCTGTCTCCCATCCAGAAACTTGTCTGGATTGGTTGGGGTTTCCCCAGTAGCGGTGGCCACCGGCCTTCCCACTGGCATAGTGCCTCCCTCGGTGGCATTTTTAAACAGTGCCCCTTGGAACCAATTCCCCAGCATCGACTTCGGGGCTTCAGATGGTCAAGGAGGCCGTGGTGAGGCTCCGTAAGAGTGGAGCGATGCTGTCTAGCGAGGTTTCAGATCCGGGAAGTCTCCTGAAGTGCAAAAATTCCCTTCTCCGTCGCTAGACTCCCCTCTGCCTCATTGTCTTCCCTTTCTTCTGATTTCTCCTTCTTCTTACAGGATTCAAATCTTCCAAAGAAGAAAAGGAAAAAGATGAGCACAAAACGGGGCAAGAGAAAAGGTAAGCGTGGATGAAAAGCCTGTGTCCCCCTTTCTCTTTCTCCTCCCTTAAATCATAGAAATAAGGACGTTTCTTCCCGCACTCTATGCCTGCTGACTGCAGCCGGGGTGGAGGAAACAAAGGGAATCCCAAAAAATCTGAATGCTTCCCTATAGAAAGATAAAAATCTGGACTCACCCAAAGCGAGTAGATCTCAAAATCTACCCCAAATAACAACCGGGCATTTGGTTTTTTTCTCGATATTTTCCATAAAGTAACTTGGAATGGTATTCAATCAATACCACGCCAGGTCGGAGCCTAGTTAGGACTTGAAAGGGAGATGCTGGGAAATCCCACGCTGTGTTTTGATGGGGGCATTGCAAAAATCCCAAAAGGAGGCCAGAGCAAACAGTTTCCACGTTCCTGCCAGAAAAAAACTTTTAACATGCTCAGGGCCTCGTCTGCATCAGGGCTGAGCTTGGTTTGATGGAGATTAATCTCCAGTTTTCTTTCTTCCTCTTCCCCCAAAACACCCACATCCGAGAATCACCTATTGTTGAATAGCAAACCCGACCTAACTAGAAAAAAAAACTTGGGGGGGAAAAAGCCGTAGTTCCTTTGCTCCTTGTGAATATCACTTCCTCACAGAGGTCTAACCTCTTGATAGAACCCCACCCTCTTTCTTCCTAAAGCTGTGATATTTTCTGCACTAAGTTCGTTCCCTTTCTTTCTTTCTCTCCCCTCTTCTCCCTGCCCCATCCTCCAGGTTTTCGCAAGAGACGATAAACCTCCTCTTACTGGTCAGGATCGAGCTCTGGTGAACCCCAATAGCTCGGATGTGCACCCCCATTTAGTGCTTAATAATAAAATTTAAGAGCCATCTTTTCCTGTCTAAATTCTGTCATCTTTTTTGCTTTGCCCGGGTAGAAGTGCGGCGTAACCGGGGGGGAAAAAGCACATTTGGGGCTCGCCCTTAATCCTAACTGCCTTTTGATTGAAGAAAGGGGAAGCTGGAAAAAAATAATTCAAAGTAACATAGTTAACCGGGTTCACGACAGGTAATAACAGCTGGTTCCTTTCTCAGTTTTGCTCAAGCCCTTTTCTGTGCTGTTTCTGCAGTTCACCCCCAATCGCGGTGGCCCCCCACGCGTGGCATCAGCGTGTTTCACGCGTAGCGTGTTACTTCGCGTTGTGTTTTCGTTTCTGAGCGATAAAACTCCTTAATACGGGAATCCCCACATTTCTCCCTCTCTTTCCCCCACCCCAAACTCCTCGTCTGCTTTAGAGCGACTGGCAAAATCAATAGCATTGATCCAGCGTGGGGTGGGGGGGCCGCCGGAGCACGGAAGGGAATCCTCGCCTGCTTTAAACCCTGATCCGGGCTAAGTGGAATCCGATAAACACAAGGAGGAAATCAATGGCTTGACGCGCTTGAGGAACTGCGGGGGGGGAAGCCGTGGTGAGAAGGGGAAAAAAAAGGAAAATGGAAATGGAGAAATTGCACCAGATACAGGGCACAGGGCTTTTGAGTGGGCAGGGGGGTGGAAGGAGGGTGGAGAAGCGCAACAAACCAGGGTTTCTCTCCTTCCCCACCCAGGGATGCTTCAGTTTGTGTTTCAGGGTTCAGCCCCCCTCTTCCACGTCCATCCGTCCCCCCTAAAGGTTTCATGAGTCGGGTGGCGGTTGTGCCTTTTTGCAGAGTGCAAAAGAGAAAGATTAATTCATTAGTTCAGTGATTCTCACCCTTGGCCGCTGGAAGACGTGTGGACTTCAACTCCCAGAATTCCTCAGCCAGCAAGGCGGGCTGGG